CCAGGTGCCGGGGGTCGGGGGGCTCTGCCCGCTCCCCGCCCGCCCCGCGCCAACTTTCCGCTCCTTCCCCCGCCGGGAAGTTGGCGCGGGCGGGGGCTCGGGGGGCTCGGGGCGGGGTTCCCCGCGGCGCTCACCTACGTCGGCGTTGCAGAAGGCCTGTTGCGGGTGGATGGGCGAGCAGCTGCAGGCGTCGGCCGGGCGGGCCCTGCCGAGCAGCAGCACCGCCAGCCAGGCCAGCAGGCTGGGCAGCGCGGCGGGCATGGTGCGGGGCTGCGGGCGCGGCCGCCCGGCCCCGATCCCGCACGCACCGCCGGGCCCGGCCGAGCCGCCGCCGGGAACTCGGGTCCGGCCGGAGCGGGCGCTCTGCGGCCGCCGCTCCGTTGCCTTCACGGAGCCCGTTCGCTTCCTCCCCGCCGCGCTCGGCCTCGCTCTTTAACGTGCTCCGGGGATCTGCTGCTCCTCCTCCGCGTGGCGCGGGGCCAGCCCGGCTGCGCCCGCCCTCCGCGGGATGCGGCTCCGCCGCGACCGCTGCCCCCGCCCCGGCACGCCCCCCCGGCCCCTTCGCTCCCGGGGCCCAAACCCCCGCAGCGGATGGCCGGAGCGGCAGCAGTTCTGTGCCCGAGAATCCCTCCCCACCTTGGGCTCCTCCACCCCAGCTTGTCCCACAGCCGAGTCAGCTCCCCTGCCTGCTTCCTGCCCCCACTGCGGCTCCTGTGCCCCTGCCCCAGGCCTCGTGCCTCTCCCCACGGCAGCAGCTCCTGCCCTGGAGCACAGCTCCAAAACCCCACCTTGTCTCTATCCTGGATGCACGATGGGGTTTAACCCTGGTGGGCAGCTCAGCCCCCAGCTGCTTCTGGTTCATTCTTCCCAGCCGGCTGGTGAGAGAACTGGGAAGGGGAAAGTGAGAAAACTGCTGGCTGAGATAAAGGTGAAGCAAAAGCCACACATAAGCAAAGCAAAGCAGGGAATTCTTTCACCCCTCCCCACGGCAGGCAGGTGCTGAGCCATCTCCAGGGCAGCTGAGCTCCAGCCTGGGAACGGGCCCACGATGGTGATTCGGGAGGACAAACACCATCACTCAGAATGTCCCCCCTTCCTCTGTCTTCCCCCAGCTCTATAAGCTGAGTATTATTCCCTACAGTGTGGAATACCCTTGGGTCAGCTGTTCTGTGTCCCCTCCTGACTCCTTGTGCCCTCCCCAGCCCCTCACTGGTGGGATGAAGAGCAGAACAGGCCTCAAGCTGTGCAAATGCTGCTCAGCAGTAATGAAAACATCCCTGTTATCAACACCGTTCCCAGCACAAATCCAAAACACTGCCCTACGCCATCTAATATGGAAAAAAACAGACTCTATGCCAGTCCAAACCCACTCGCTGTGTCACCATGGAGGTGTCAGGATGCTGCTGCTGCTGTCACTGTACCTGTACTCTGTGCCTGGCTGGCTGCTGAGAGTGCTCCATGTCTCCAGTAGTGCCTTTGTCCCAGTGGAGCAGGCAGGGCCACAGCTTTCAAGCACAGCTGGGCCAGGTGTCATGGGCATGTGTTGGCAGGACAGCCACCACCACAGCCATAAAATATGCTCCTGAGCCAGCCTCTTGTCACAGCACTGCCATGGATACACGCAGAAGAGGGAGGTAACAGAGAGCTCAGCCTCCAGCAGGAGAAGAAACAGAACTGTGCAGCTGGACCCAGCCCAAACCCTGCCTGAGCCTGCAGGAACACAGGGGAGGTGACAGCATTGACAGCGCTGGGATGCTGGATGACACCTGGAGATGGGGCCCCAGGTTGCCAACTCTAGCGTGGGGCCCACGGCCTGCAGAGGCTGCAGCAGCAGCAGGAAATGAGGCATTGGTGCTGCTGCTCTGAGGGCAGCGCAGTGCTCAGGGCAGGGGCCCAGGGGTGCCTCGGCCCAGGGGACAAGAAGGGACCAGGTAGCAGGAACAGCCACTGGCACAGCCCTGGGGCCACAACAGGTGCTGTGGAGCTGCCAGCGCTGGGCTGGGAGGGTGACTGAGGCCAGGAGAGATTGCCAAGTGCCAGTGATGGCTGAGTGGCCATCATGGACTGTGGCCAGCTGGCGCCCAGTGTGGGCTGCAAAAGCATGCTGGGTGCCCTGGGCCGGGTGCTGCATGATCCCCAGGCCACGTGCAGGGGCCAAAGCCAGGCCTGTCTGCAGGCTGGGGACAGGTCCTGTCTAGAGACAAGCGCAGCCCAGCGCTGGCCGAGTCATTGTCTGGGCTAAATGAAAACACATGTCTGGCCTGCAGCTCTGCATGGCTCACAGAGGTGCTGACACTGTAAACAGGGGTGGGGGGAGCAGCCTGGCGGGGTTCTTGGGAGGGCCCCAACCGCTCTGTGGATCCTTCCACCCAACCACAGCCTGACTGCTGCCCCGACAGGCCCCCTCCCTCCCTGTGCACGGCTGGACCCACAGCAGAGCAGTGCCAAGGCATGGCAGAGGGATACAGGGGGCACAAGGGCCCCTCAAAGCACAGTGGCCAGGCCCAGCTCTCTGAAGCCCGACCTGCTGGCAGATCTGCCCTAGGGGCAGTGTAAAAGGGACCAAAGTGGGGACACCACAGAACCAAGCACCGGGCCTGGTGTGAGGATATGCTGCCCTGTGACCTGGGGCAGGCCAGGAGCCACAGTCCCCTTGGTCAGGGGGTCAGGAGGGCCCTGGGGCCAGCAGATGCCCCTTTGGCCCTTGTGGCTTCTGAAACCACACAAGTTCCTCCTGGGGGCCACGGGCTGCGGCAGCAGTTTCACAACACGCTGGCGAGCGTGGGGAGGGCTCCCTGGCCAAAGCCCTGGGCTGCTGTGAACGCTCCTCAGCTGCTGCTGGCTCTGGGAAGCAGAACTGCAGCTCCTGGCTCTGCTCCTGCACCGAGCACAGCAGCCCTTGCACAGCATGGCTGCACTGCTGCCAGCTCCCAGCAGTTCTGTCCAGGGCTCAGCTCTTCCCAGAGCTGACAGTTCTGGGGCTGGGAGCATTTCTGGGGTTGGAGCCATGTGCAGCCAGGGCTTGGAGAAGACAGACGACCAGCACACACACACACCTCTGAGGGTGTGGCCTGAGAATGGCACCAGGATGGGCCCACTTCACATCTGGCCACAGCTGGTGGCCCCATCAACCACACCCCCTGCCCCATAGGCACAGCCACTGTGCTGGAACCACAGTGGTGAGGGAACTGCTGCATCCTCTGTGCTCACAGGAGCAGAGGTACACAAACACTGTCCCCTCCCATGTGAGACTTTTCTCTGAAACAGGCAGAGGTACACAAACACTGTCCCCTCCCATGTGAGACTTTTCTCTGAAACAGGCCACTCGTCACCCCAGCCATCCCCTCACCCAGCTGATGGGAAAAGGGAAGGAAATCCAGCTTCTGAAGAAAAAGCCTGATTAAATCCCCCCAGTCTGACCCTCTCTGGCTGCACACCCCACTCCACCCAGCGAGCCCCATGGCACACGAGGCACAGCTGTACAGCTCGGGCTCAGCTGCAACCCCAGAGCATGGATGTCACCAGAGCCACCGAGCCACCGCAGATGGTTCTGTCGCAATTCAGGGCTGGGCACTAGGGGCTGCACTGGGGCCTGACTAGGCACCAGCACTCCAGGACCTGGACACTGTCCCGGGGCCGGGAGCACCCTGTGGTGGCGGTCCCTTGCCACCAGGTGCCACTGCCGAAACACTCGCACCACACCTGCTGCAGCTCAGTCAACACTTTACAGGAGAGCCCAGGGCCAAGGACACAGCTGGGAGCGCTGCCTGACATCTCTCATGGACCCCGGGCTAGGAGCAGGCTAGCAGGGCCTGCCCACACGCCTCCACTCGCTCCAGATGTATGTTAAATAAACTCAATGCCCTCGTACTTCACACTGCCAATCCTGGTCTCGGGCAGGAGGAAGCGCCCGTCCAGTGTGAAGGCCATGATGTAGCTGGAGATCTTGCCATTGTCCTCCTCTGACTTCAGCGCCACGATGATCTGGTCGTCCGTGTCCGGGATGAACTTGAAGGAGGAGAAGCCATGGGTGGGAACCACGTCGCCCACGCGCGCCACCGTGACGTGCCCGAAGTCCTGGGTGGAGCTGAGCAGCAGGTTGGTGCCCCGCCGCTCGTCCGCCTGCTCGCTGTAGCGCTCGTGGCTGGCGCGGCGCGGCAGGAAGAACCAGCGCTGCAGCGTGTCGCTCCAGGAGGCCGACTCGTGGATCAGGTACCCTGCGGCAGGAAGTGGAGTGAGACCACACGGGCCACAGCCACGCTGGGGCGGGACCGTCCTCCTTCCCCTTCCCCTCCAAAACACCCCACAGCCCCATACAGGCATCCCCTATGAACTCTTCTGCCTGCTCCTGCCCTACTGCCTGGCAGCAGCCCCACAATTCTCCCCAGAGCTAAGCAGGGGCACTCAGCACACCCCACTCTGCCTGGGGGCACAGCTGCCAGGCCCAATGCCAGATGAGCCACCCTCTAGCTGCTCCTGGCACAGGCAGCAGAGGAAAAGGACCAGGACAAGGGGAGATCTCTGGCCTCTGGCAGCCTTTAAATCTCCCCCAGTGCCAGTATCCCCGGGGAGGGTGACTGTATGGCTCTGGAACCATCAGAGTGTGGGATATGGGGTGGCAGGAGGTTGCCCTGCTCCATACCTGGGGGCCGGATCCCCGCTGCAGCCCTCAGCGCGTTGTAGTTTGTCACCCAGTTCTCGTGGCTCACGTCACCCTTGTAGCCAATGACCTTCACCCACTGGGGGTTCTCGTTCACCACTTCCCCTGTCGTGGTGGTCCACTCCTTGCCCAGTCCTCCCACGTACAGGTGCTCATCCTTCACTGCCAGCCACTCCGCCTTGAAGCCTGTGGTGGAAAGAATGTCCTGAGGGGAGCTCAGTCAGCACGTGGCCACCAGACTGTCCCACATGCCCCACACCCTGCACCCCTGAGCCTGGTGCTGGTGACAGTGTCCCCCCTGCAGCCAGCTGGTCTCTCAGCAGGAGCTGCCCTCTCTTGGCCAGGCTCAGAGGTCACAGGAAAGGCGTACCCCACCCCAGCAAGGTGAAAAGAGCCAAGGGCTTTACAGGACAGGACAGGAGCTCACCTTTGCCCACAGTGCCGTCCCCATCTGGGAGGATCACCCAAGGCACCACCTTGTTGCCCTCGATCTGGTAGACCACACCTGTCCGGTCGTCCACCGCGTACAGCTTCCCGTTGAAAACCACCAGCTCTGAGAGCTCCATGCCCCGGCCCTTCTCCGCCAGGTGGGACTGCAGCATGCTCTCATCCTTGTCCCACTCCACCGTCACTCTGTCCCCACTGTCTGACAGTACCAGGTAGCCCTTCTTCAGGTAACTGAACCAGGTGTGCTCCTGGGAGCCCCGGGACTGCGTGTCCAGGTCGGCAATGACGCCGATGCGGTAGCGCACGCCCTCGGGGTTCCTCTGCGGCGGGGACAGCGGGTACGTGTCGTTGTAGCGCTCTCCCGCCCGCAGGCCGAGCTGCCAGGTGCGGGGGCTGGGGGGGCCATGCCGTGCTGGGGAGGAGCGGTGCAGGCAGAGCAGCAGCAGCAGAAGCCCCACGCAGGCTGAGGACAGCACGATGGCCTTCCAGCGCAGTCGGAAGCGGGGGTCAGCACCCTTGGTCATGGACGCGAGCACGGGCAGACCACCCACGCTGATCCGGAGGGGGCTCATAGACTCATGGCAGGGCGGGACGGGCATCAGACAGGGGGCGAGCAGAGCCTGGTGGGAAGAGGGGAGCGAGAAGGTCAAAGAGCTGGATTTGGTGCTGACTGAGCTCGGGGGACAGCAGAGCACAGCCATGAGGGGCCCCATCCCCTCTCTTGCAGCAGAAGGTGCTCCCACCTCACGCAGCTAAGAGGCACCACGCCCAGGGGCTGTTTGCTGCTGGAACCACCCTCAGCCCCTCTCACCTGGCTCTCTCTGCGCCCCCTGCCCAGGAGCCCCAGCACCTTGGCAGGACTGCACGACCTGCCCGGCAGCTCTATCTGTGCCATGGTCACTGCAGCTCAGGCAGCGAGCTGAGGCACCTGGCTCAAGGTGAGCCCCGTGTCACAGTGTCCTGGGGCACATCCCCACAGGGTCCTGGGAGGAAGTGGGTTCCTCTCGGGCGGCAAGGATGACCCTTGCTGTCTCCAGAGTGGCTGGGCAGCCTGGCCCAGCTCCCGTGGCCCTGAGAACCGACCCCACTGATGAGCTGTGAGCTTGTCCCCAAGCCACGCAGGGACACTGGGATACGTGGCAGCTCCGCCCAAGCAGGATGCCAACACCTGAGCAGGAAGCGCAGTGCCCAAGGGACTCACACCCGGACCTGCCCAGCCTCACAGACACAGGACCCCTCATCCTGGCCCAGGACACAGCGTGTCCTCCACGTGTGAGCACTGTGAGCCCACCCGCGGGCTGGGGTGCCAGCAGTGCCCTCAGCGCCACCTCCCTCCCTGCAGCACAGGGGACGTGGCAGCGCCCCGGGCTCCCGCAGACGGGCACTCCGGGCTGCCCGGGTGGCAAGCAGCCACCACTGGACCCGTGCTCAGCCCGTGCCATGCAGCCCGGGGCAGAGACCCCCATCCCGGGGCAGAGATCCCCAGCCGCCATCGCAGGGCTTTCTACAAAAGGCCCGTGCCGCAGGGTCTCAATGTGCCTTTCAGCAGCCGGAGTGGCAAACAGAGGCGGCATTGAGCGTGGGGGGCCGGCCCCGGGCAGGGGAGCTGCGGCACAGCACGGAGCCCCGGCTGGGGGCACGGCAGTGCCTCTCGGTCCCGTCGGGATCCCGGAGCGTGGGCCTGGCAGAGCCCCGGGGACCCCCTCGGTGCGCTGACCCCACAGCGCTTGTAACCCGCTCTGAGCACGGCCGCGGGGACCCCCGGCCAGGGACACGGGACGCCCCTCTAAGGACGCGGGGATTGCCCGCCTGCGCCGGGCGCGCCCTCGGGGACCCCCGCGCCCCCTCCCCGGCCGAGCCGACGGGCAGCCGGGGCACCGCCCGGACGGAGCGGGGCCCTGAGATCCCCGCGGCCCCGGGACCTCCGCGCGGGGCACAGCCCCGAGGAGCCCACGGCTGCCGCCCGGGAGGGTGCTCGAGGCGCGCGGTGCCCCCGTCCGGTGCGGACCCCCGCCTGCCGGCCCGGCCCCGCGCGCCGCCGCCGCCGCGCCTGGCAGCGGCCTGGCCGCTCCGTCTGGCGCACAAACTACAACTCCCAGGAGACCCTGCGCGGCACCGCGCCCCCGCCGCCCCTCCCGCTGCGCAGCGGGGCCTGCCGGGAGCTGTGGTCCGCGCTGAGCAGGGCCCGCCGGAGTGGGCGCCGCGCACGGGCGGCTGGAGCCCAGCGGCGGGGGCGGTGCGGGGGCCCAGCTGCCTCTGCGGGGTGGGCACAGCCCGGCTGCCCGGCGGGCATGACCCCCGCGCTGCCCTGCTCTAGCCCGCAGCACATTCTGTCCTTGGCCCGGTTGCCCCCTGTGTCACGCCGCCACTCGGGGTGGGAGCGGGGTAAACCCAGCCCCGCGCCTTGGGACCCGTGTGCGTGCCCGGCTGTCACAGGCTGCAGCCCGGTGCGGCTGTGCTGGTCGCGCTGCCCTCGGGGCTGGGAACGGCCTCGGCGACGCCGGCACGGGGCAGGGTCCTGCGCCGGGGCCAGCCGCACCCTCCGGGATCCCGGGCCCCGCGGCAGCTCCGGGGAACCGCTGGCAGGTGCCGCCTCCGCTGCCGGTGCGGCGGCCCCGGAGCACGAGCGGCTGGGGCGGGCGGTCCCGGGAGCACGCACGGTTAAGGCAACCGCGGGCGCACATCTGGCGGGGGAGGGCTGCGAGCCTCGTCCCGTGCCTCGCTGCCTCCTGCGCTTCCCAAAAGTGCATTTCCGCCCGGGCCGGGCGAGGCGAGGCGGCTCCGGAGCGGGAGGCAGCCGTCGGCCGCGGGCAGGCTCTGCGCTGGCCCGGGCGGTGCCCTAGGGCAGCAAAGGCAGCGCCGCGAGGGAGAAGCCGTGCCCCGAGGTAGGTGGGGGCAGCTTTGGGAGGCCCGGCGATCACCCCCGGAGCTGCAGGGGCCGAGCTCCCACCGGCGGGCGGTGCCGAGGTCCCGGGGGGCGGCTCCGCCTCGCCGAGCGCTCGGGTGCCCTGGCACACGCCCGGCCAGGGGGGCCGGTCCCTGAGCCCCCCCGGCCGAGCCACGCCCTTGCCTTTCCTGCGAAGGAGCAGTGGGGGCCACACGGCTGAGCCTCACAGTAGTCTGGGGGCACAGCCCGACCCACCGCGGCTCTGGGAGGACACAGATCCCCCCCAGCCCTGCCCCAGCTGTGTCCCCAAAAAACTCATGGCTACAAACACATCAAACCCCCGCTGGGCCACCTTCGGCATCTCTTGGGGGTCACAGTGGCTGTTGTGACCCAGCACAATGTCTTGCTGGTGCTACAGAAGCTGGAGGGCTGCAACTAACCCGTGCTCCTTCCCCACATCTGCCCCATGCAGCTCCCACCCTGCTGCCTGCCGGCTCTGCCCTGCTCCAGGGAAAAAAGGGCTCTGCAACCGTTCCAGCGTCTGCAGCAGCACAGGGGGCACCTGGCCCACCAGCATGACCCCAAGGCACAGTGGTTCTGGCTGCTGTGCAGGGAAGTTTGTATCCACCACCCTAAACAGAGACGGGTGCAGGTCCTGCTGCCTCCACACTGCCCCGAGCTCCTCATCCTTCCCCTAGGGTTTGTTCCGTTTCATCCTAGTCTTCATCTCCATCTGGAAAGTATTTTGGGATGTTTTGACTTGCAGTCCCAAGGCTTCTGCAGCCACTGAGTTTAAATCTCTGACTGATCCTGGAGAGCAGCCAACCCTGAGGGAAATGCGTGTCCCTGGCAGGGTGGTGTGTGCCCATGTGCAGGTGGGCACACAATGCCCAGCACACCTGCAGGGTGCAGGGGGGCACGCTGGGGGCCCAGTGATCCCCATGGGCTGCTGGCAGCACCCTGCGAGCACCACACACTCGCCTCTGTCCCCAACAGCCTGGGAAGCACTGCCTTCCACCATGGGAACTTCCTGTGGAGGGTTTCTCCTCGTGGAGCAGCTCCCTGTGACAGTGCGCTGTGCCCAGGGCCCGGCCTGCTCCAGATCCTAGAGGGATGCCTGGTGTGACAGTCCCAGAGCTGGGGGAAAGCCACAGGCTTCCCAAACCCGGCAGGCTGCGTGCCCTGCTCAGCGCTGTGTGTCTGGCACAGCTGGGGGCCAGGCAGGCTGGGCAGAGCCAGGGCTCCCCTGGTCACAGCCGCTCACAAGGCCCTGGCCGGCCGCCTCCACCTCTATCCATGGATCCGCTTGTCCCCTGCCTCCCTCCACACCTGGCAGCACCGACACAACGGGGTGAGAGACAGGCAGTGGGAAGTGTGTGCCGCGGCCAGGCCCTTGGCAGAGGGTTTGAGCAGCAGGAAAAGCCCTTGGAGCCTTTCCCAATCCCTCCGCCCCTTCCCAGCTCCAGTGAGTCATGATGCAGGCATCCGCCCCCGGAGCCCTCCACTCCGCTGCGGGAGCGCACGTGGTCCCTGGGACCCCGCACCTGGGGACAGTGACAGCAGCCACCGACCACCGACTGAGAGCAGGCGCTCACCACAACCACAGGATTCTGCCCCAAAATCCGTCATGGCCTGGCTGAGCCGCACAACACAGGGCAGGGCTGAGAGGGCGCTCCGCGATCCCGGCGGAGCGCAGCCGGGCGGCTCTTTGGGAGGGGACACCGGCGAAAGCCACACGCATGTCCCACCCCAGGGAGGCGCCTGGCTGAGATAGGAGCCAGGCAGCAGCCATCCCCGTCCCGCTCGGAGCCTGCAGCCGCGGGATGCCCGGCGCTGGGCACTGCTACGCCCCTGTTTGGCCAGGGCTGTCCAAAGGGCGAGGTGCTGCGTGCCCGGCCCCACGTCTCCAGCAGATACGCTTCTGATAATAGAGGGAGGGGTCGCGAAGTGCCCGGGCTGGGCCACAGTGCCACCACCACTGCAAATATTAGTTTTGGCCCCATACAGGGTGTGGGCTCTTGGAAAGGTTTCAGCCAGCTCCCAGATAGGGCTGCCAGCCCACATCCCTCTTTCTGGAGGAGGGGGTCTCGTCCCCTTGCAAACCCTTGGGCTGGCAGCCCCCAAGGCACAGGAGCCCCTCGCAGGAGTAGGGTGCAGATGCCCTCTCTGGGCCCACCTGGGGTCCCACACACAAGCAGGGCTGCACCCTGGCATTTGCCTCATGGCATCTGGGCTCTCTGTAATTTTTCAGGTGCTGACATCCTAAATTGCTGCTCTTGGGCGTCCATGGGAGGCAGCTGAAGCCAGGCTGGGCTGGAGCAGCAGCACTTGGTCCAGGACTTGGCCTGCTCAGAGGCTGCTGCTCTGCTCCACTCTCAGCTCCTGAGGTAATCCCATCTGCCATATGTGCCAGAGCTCAGGGGCTGCACATGAGCCCAGAGCCCCCTAACTGCCTCAGCGTGGGTCTGCACAGGTGCTCACTGGGGTGACACTGTTCCATAGCCCAGCCAGAACCCTGGGGCTGTGCAGTGCACAGGTCCTGTCCCAGGACAGCTTGGGGCATGGCTGGGCTGGGAGTCTCCTCATTCCTGTCCCCCTCAGCTGTCCCTGGCACCTCACAGGGCCCTGCCAAGGCATGGAGGGGCTGTGGGTGCACGGTGTCCTGCTGATCTTCCTGCTGCCCTGCCCTGTGGGGAGCCAGACCAGCTCCCTCCCTGACCAGCGATGGTGGACAGACCCCAATGAGGCCTCGTCCCAGCACCAGGCTGCCAGCACCAGGTGAGGGGACCCCTGAGCCAGGGTGCTCTGCAGTGGGGGCCAGGGCAGCCCTGGCACCGCAGACCCCCCGCCCCCCCGTAGCTCCTGTTGTGCTTTGCTGTCTGCCTTGCCAGGGCCGCGCAGGAGCAGAAGGCTGGTGATGCCCAGGAGGGGCTGCCCCCACAGCCCCGCTGTGTCCGCTGCTGCCCCTCACCTGAAAAGCGCTTCTACCCCCAGTACCAGCCCATGCCTCAGATCAACATGACCATCCTGAAAGGTGAGGGCTGGCAGGACCCCACGCTGTGCTGCCAGCATTGCCCCAGCTCCAGCGCTGAGGTGGGCTCACAGTGCCAGCTCCTGCACAGGCTGGGAATGAGAAACTGGGGTGGTGCCAGTGGTCCTGTGCCCTGCACAGACAGGGGGCAGGAGCCACACTGGGGTGTGAGCCGCCCCTGCTCTGGTGGCTTCTGGGCAGCAGCATCAGAGCCTGGGGAGAGGCAGGGGCAGGACTGGTGGGTCCCTGCTCCCTCCATCCGCCTCTGGGGAAGGGGCTCTTGGGGTGCTGGGTTCAGCTCTGGCCCCTGCCTGACAGCCCAACTCTCCCTCCCTGCTCTGCCCAGGAGAGAAGGGGGACCGTGGTGAGCGTGGCA